CAGCTGTTGTGTGTGTGGTTGTTGACTCTGATCAAGCGGTTCTGATTCTCCAGAATACTCCGGCGGCAACGATGACGAATAAGGTGGCTGAGGTGTATCCTAGAATTTTGCAATTTTTCTTCAATTCCTGAGTTTCGGTCCAGGGATCTAATTTTGGTCTTGTATGCTCGGCTATAATCACTGGAACAAGTAGTTTACGTAGAAGGTTGTCGTTTTCGTAGACATGGGGTTGGTAGTGGCGCTCCAATTGATCTAGTAAGTCCACTCTTTCTTGGTAAGATCCAAGCTTTAGATTGCAAGCGACGTCCATTTTGTTCAGGAGAGCTAACTTGTTGTAGAGTTCCATCATTTTGCTGAAGATTTGAAAGTTGGGCTTGAGAGTTGAGTTCAAGGTTGAAGTCCAGAAAGCTTTGAATAGAAGTAAGTTAGGCTTGAGATTCGAGTTCTTTTTGCGGCTGTCTTAGGTGTATGCCTTTATAATATACAGTAGTGTGAATAAGATCAGAGTAAAGATGTCTAGCGTTAAAATGGTTGCGAACTATGTGATCCTTCGTATTTAAAGGGATTTTTTGACGTTGACTAATGTTTTCGTCTCTTAATCGAGTTACACAGCACTCGATTATGCTGTCCCTGGCATTTGGCGCATTTGTATGCGCACGGACTTTGGTGTTCTGCTTTAAGACAACGTATGCAGATTTTTAGATCACCGAGTCTCTTGGTTCTTTGAATAGAGTCAGCGAAATTTTTACAAAATTGGGTGTTGTGTGAGTCGTCATTGGGACAAAAGACGCACAAAGATCGAGAGGTTTTCAGCCGCTCTAATATAGTATCGAGCTTTCTTTCAATCTTCTGCTCTAGCAAATTAATAGCTCCATAAATCTGGCGCATTTGTGCTTCACTGAAATGGTATTCCATAACAGGAGGCTGCACGTTATTTAGATTGAGTAGCTCGGCTTCGTACTCGTCCATTTTGACAAGTGATTTTTTGATCGAATTTTTCTCTTTTATCAGTTTTTTCTCTTTTTTAGTCTTTAGTCTTTT